TTCCTTTTCATTCCTCTTTTCCCCCAACATACTTTTTTTTCTGGAGTGCTTGTTAACTTTGGCAGGCTTTTTATCATCTGAAGGTAGAGACAAAGCTTTTAATGAATGTCTGCAAAACAGGGGCTTTAGGTGGTATCAGACAATGTTCAGATTTGCAACTGGCAGCCAAGCCATTTGTTTCAGGGCCCCGAGATTTTCGTCCTATTACCGAAAGTCCACTTACATGGTTTTAATACAGATAGTATACAGTAAATGGCAAGCCTAATAAGCTTACTTGGAATTAGGAAGTAAGAATTGATAAATTAAGTGATTAGATGGTATTGAACTGATGTCTTAAGTCATGCTCAATAGACTCAATCATTTATAGGTTGAGCATTTGTTTAAAGGCACTCTAAGGGAAAAGCCACACATAAAAGGACTGGGCTGACCTTCTAAGAATAAATAACTCATCAGAGAACAACTCAGTTAACACAAGGAGACTGAGTAGAAGGACACTAAAGGAAGATTGTTCAGTGATTTGTATCTGCAATTATTTCTTTGAGTGTAACAATACTATCATGTAATGATACTGCAATGGTCACTTTTTCTGGTCTCCCATACCTAGACACATCCATTGTGTAGAAGGTCTTCTTCTATACAACAGCTATATAGAAGATAGACAAGGGAGCATCTTTCTCAAAAGTGTCCTTTTCCAGCTCTAGATCACCATCCTCAGCAAGATATTCCTAGAACCAATTATATCACGTTTTTTTGTTGCCAAGCAAAGCCATGTCTATTCTCCTGGGACTTTGACCTTCAGTTATTTAGTTTTTGTCACCTAACGGTTGCTTTAACTGTTGGCTTAATCTATCAGTTGAACTGTATATCTTTCTTTGCCACTAAAATAGTAAAAAAACCGTAAATAAAATGAGGTTGAAATATTAGATATTAATATGCCACCTACTCACAAAATCACAGCTTTTCTTTTCTTTTTCTAAGAAAAATGCATTAAAATAATTATCTCCTGTTACAGTAAGCAATAAATGCAAAAGTCATGAATACGGCCATGGCAGTAGAGACTGTTGGTGCCTCCTTTATTGTAGTGTGGTAAACTCCATACAGGGCAACAGCCAGTCATCCGGCCGCACAAAGTTCAAAGTTTTTTCCTCCAGAAAAGTATAATACTTGGATCATGAATGAAAGGGTGAAAATGATGGGGAAAAGTGTATTTTAAGAAGCTCAAAGGAATCTCTAAATAACAAGGCATATTCTCTCTCTCTCTCTGTAAAATCTCCCTACCCTCCACTCATATCTGAGCTGTATTACTGCTTTTCAATCATCTGCATTTTGCAAATGGTTTATGGGTACTAAATGCAATTTAAGTTTCACATCTACAAGTGCCAATCCTGGGTATTAATTAATTAAGCAGCTTAAAAAGTTATAGAAATGGCTGACTTTTACCTTTAATTGCTTAAAAAATGTTAACTTCTCTTCTAGTATACGTATGAGTTACCATTTGTCATGCAGCACTTCACAGCAAGGACGAGAAGCATGTTGCCTAAACTTTAGCCCATTTTTGTTTTGAAAACTAGGACATGTATAACACTGTTTCTAGACAAGGGAGAGCAAATTCTATAAAATGAATATTCATCTACGGGTAATACCACACACACCCATTTACTGTATTTGAAATCTTAAATGTGCTAATAGCCCATCTGGTTTATTTCTTATGAATCAACTAAACTTTAATCTAGTTTGTATCTTTTAATGCAACTTGCAGCTAATTGAAAATAGAAATTGACTGTACAATTGAACCCCTGCCCCTTTTTAAGTCTGTTTCATGTGCATGTAAAAAGGGTCAGGCCTTTGACTACACAGTTGTGGTCACCATCTTGAATTTTTTGACACCTCTACAGATGCCTCCGGCTACAGATTGTAATTATGAGTCCTGATCTATAAAGAAGCCTGTTTGGAATTTCTCCATGTCTGTGTTTCTAGGTGACAAGCAGCTGTCAGTTCTGAAGGCTGATCACTGACCTCTTCCTAAAGACCGTTCCTACAGATCTTCTGCCTGAAGAAGAATTTGAGGGTGGATACTGGGACTGCAAAAGAGAGCTGTGAATCATCTAATCCTTAACATTGCCTCTGTCTGTGTGGCTGTATTTCCCTCAATATCAGTAATATATTGCAGCTAGATTTGTAAAATGCTTTGAACTGTGTACAGGCATTTGAAAGGGAGACACACACACACACACACAGAGTAAATACACACACACACATGTATATTACACATCTTGTTAATAATATTGTTCTGGTTTGGAAAAAAATGCACTTCAGTAGGAGAATTCCAGGTAAGTGTCTTAATTAAGATGACACAGAGATACAAATGAAAATAAACAACAATCACACTGAAAGTATGTTAACAAACCTGTTTAGCATGGCTTTTCACAAATCAGTGCACTCCAGACATGTGGAAGTAAATTCTCATAATTCCTAGTTAGTAAATCCATTACAGATTAAAGGGAGACAATGTCCAAGAGATGAAGAGGGAACCAAACAGAACAAGGCAAATTTCAGAATAATTAATGGGATAACATCCAATAACAGATGAGCTAAATTTGCAAGGATATCTATCATTATTTAACAGTTTAAAAACACACTGATATTAATGATTAAATAGCATGGTCACACATTCTACAATTGTTTTTCTAGACAGTAATGATTAGAGAAACAATTGTAGAATTTGTGACAATGTCTTTTTACACCTCTGGTCTATGGAACGTGTTTGATAAGTCTTTGAATCTTTGAGTTTAATTTTTCTTTATATAGTACCCCCTGATATTGTTTTCTTGTCTGGAAAGTAAAAAAGGGATCCAAGGAAAATAATCTGGATTTGTTTTTGGAATGTCAAGCCTTTATTAATCCAGTCTATATATTCACAGATATCAACACTGTAATTGCAACAAAATGAAAGGCTCCAGACTAGACTTATCCTTGACATGTTAGATCTCCACCTGCAGGAGGGACCCATTTGTCTGCATTCTGAAGTGACACAGAACTGGAAAGATCCTATTTGCTCTCTTTAGGATCCTGGAGTAGCCTTGGCATTCGACTGACTGGTAGTCTTGCTCGTGGAATGCATTTTTTCTACAAAATACAGCTTACCCTAGGAATGAGCAAAACATTTCCTGCACAAACTGGGTATGGAATTAGTTTTGCATGATCTTGTGCCCAAAACAAAACACATATTTTGGCCCATGTACATCCTGGGACACAGTTTCAAGCAGAAGTGGTCCATGAGGGAGGAAAGGGGAGAAGAACCCAAGGCCAGGAGAGGCAAGGAAAAGAAGATGCTTGGAAGATGGGGCACCTGGGCTAGTGAGGTGTGCCGTGCTGGGAGATATGGAAGGGAGGAGAGGAGATGATTAGAGATGCTGCACATCAGCCTTGCCCCCACTCGCCCCATCTGGATTTGTTTCATCCCAAACCTGGAACAACTGGCACGTTCTACTGAAACATGGCTGACTCAGAATGCTTTGACTGAATTTCCAAGTTTGGAAGAAAGTCCCCCCCCCCCTTTCTAGCAAATGCCAATATGATGTCCTGCAGATGTGTTTGAGTTCAGCTCCACAGCCCCTCCCCATCCCAGAGAACGATGGTTAGGGATTATGGGAGATGAAGCCCAAGGCATCTGGGCAAATGTTGTGAAGGCTGGCGCATCAGGGATCGCGCCTAAGGCTTGGAAGTTCTTCTGGCCTCCGTTTCCCAGGGTTGGAATTCTGTCAGGAAAAACACAAGAGCTCCTCTTCGGGACAGTATAAAAAAAAGAGAAGGCATTGCTGCCAATACAATAGTTTTTCAGAAAAGAGAAGGTGCATTCGACACAGGTAAATGCTTGAATTATTCCTTTGATCGTTTGTCCCTCGAATGTTGTCCCCTTCCCTCTCTTCCTTCCTTCCTTCCTCTTTTTTTTGGGGGGGGGAGGGAGGAGCGGGGAAGAATTTTTTTTCCTTGGGAGCCCGCCGAGCTTTGTTTGTGAGCCAGGCGCCCTCTTGCGGCAGCAGCTGTTTCTTGCTTGCCTTTCGCGCGCGGGATGGGA